CTGTCCAGACAGAGGTCAGGGATTCTGAATCCTCCTAGAGCAGAAAGAAAACTCCTCCCACAAGCTTTAACCAGTGCTCTGCTGGACACTGACAGAAGTCACAAGACTTCTCTAACTGCTTATGAGAAAAGGTATTAAATGTTTATATTTACTAAAATAATTGCATTTCCATGTTGTGTGTACTGTGGAAGACCAGATATAGTGAATGCAGAGTCCTGGGTTTAGGAACACTTTAATTGTATTTACCACTAAACGGATGCATGTCTATTTACTGGTAATAACCCACAGCCAGGGTATTTTCCACTCATGTCTTTATTCGTGCTTGCATTGATTGTCATTCAACCAGGTATGTCAGAGGGGCTGAGGCTCTTGAAGTCGAGGCGCAGAACAGAGGACCCAAAATTACCAAGCGGCTCCTTCGGGGGTGGTGCTACAAAGGCCATAAAAAGAGTTTACAAGATTTTTCTCACATAGACTTCAATAGGGTTCAGCACTATGTTCGCGGTCTTTTGACAGGTTCAGTGAAAAATCATTACCAGGTTTCAAAGCTTCACCTACAGTATATATAATGCCAAAACTGTGTTTATTCGTTTTGAATAGAGTATGGATTGTGGGTTTTTTTCTGTCGTCTATGTTTCTTTGAGGAAATTTTCCCTCACTCCCTGTCCCAGTGACGGAATTGGAAGAAGGAGCATCCTAAGTGAGGAGATATCTTCTTTAGCTGGCCATAGGTTTGAATGTTGACCAGTTCAGAAGGAATTGGCCGAGATTCGATCCATGTGTGGGCAAGTCTATCCATTGATTGACTTAGGTACAACCAGCATGTTGGATTTTTAGGATGTGATTATTGCCAGCGTCTATAGCTGCTAGCAATAATAACTCCCAGTAGAGATGGATCTCCACGCAAACTACCAGGAGAATAGCTCCACAGGAGGGATTCCCCCATCAACACTGACTGAATTGAGCCATGGTTGTAGGAAAGAAAATTGCATCATCTATGGCCTGCCTCAGACAGTTTCTCCATTGCAGGATTTTCCCTCACCTGTTCCTGTGACAGCTCAAGGATGCTGGATTTCTCATTACTTTTTTTCCTCCAGAGACAATAGTCTCCTGTCCTGCTGACCATATAGAGAGGGATTCTTACCCCTAAATTCTTCCAAAACAAGCAAAAAAAAAAAACACAGTTTCTACACCATCCAAGTACATCGCAGTCTGGCTACATACCCCAGTTAATTCTGTTCCTTTGTGATTGTGTGTGGCGTTCAAAGGCTTTTTAAGGTAACAGCTGCTATTGCTGATCTCCTAAAAATGCTAGTTGCCTGCCTGTCTGTCTCTCTCTCTTTCTCGTTTCTCGTGCTTTGAATCCCTGATCCTGAATAAGTATGCATATCATAAATTTCTGAGTAAAGTCAGAAGTCTGTATGCTTATTCTGGATTGACAACTGTGTAAGTATTCAACCCAAAAGGTGAGCATGGCAGCCAGCCAACTAGAATTCCAAAATGAGAAGTTGGCAAAGGAAACATCCATTTTCAGTTAGGAAAGGTTTCCTTTAAACATTCGATGTTCCCATAATGTGCTGACCAGGGGTGGACTGACAACTCACGGGGCCCCCGGGCAATAGGGGATCATGGGGCCCCTGTGTCCTTGCCCACACTCAAAGCACACCCAAAAAAGCCTATAAAAAAGGTACCAGGGGCATTTCATGGGGGCCCCTACTGACCCCGGGGCCCTCGGGCAGTGCCCGAGTGCTCAAATGGTCAGTCCGCCCCTGGTGCTGACTTGTCATGCCAGATGCAATGCTGTTGTACTTCCTCCTGTAGTGGGCAAGAATGTTACTGCTTCTTTCCGATTTAACTTGTAAAATTTTTTACTAGTTTAATCCTGTGTACCTGTGTGTGCCTGTTTAATTACAAAATGTAAAACACCCTAATTGGCAGTGAAAAAAAAAGCTCAGTAGGACTCAAAGGATAAATGCTGTTTTGTTTTGAGTTACTGCTGATAAGTCTTTGTGTGAATCGCAGGGTGAGCTACAGAGGCTATGAATAGTAGACTTTTTTTCAACATAGAAAATTACATGTAGAAAGGATCCTGAAATTCCACCTACTGGCTGAAAAAGGCAATGCTTAAAGTGATATTAAAGGGAATTGAAAGAGAATAAAAAAAAAAAAAAACCTAATGTGTTATACTTACCTACTCTGTGCACGGTCCCCTACCAGTACTCCTGGCCCCTTCCTCCTGCCAAGTGCACCCACAGCAAGCAGCTTACTATGGGGGCACCGAGGCAAGTTTTCTCTTGAGCTGCTGCTCTGTGTGTCCATTCAGACACAGAGCTGCGACTCGGTCCCACCCCCTCTCTTTCCTCATTGACTCACTAACTGTGATTGACAGAAACAGGAGCCAATGACTCAACCAATGAGGAGGGAGAGTCCACGGAGAACTGAGGCTCTTGTGCACACTGCTGGATCGCGATGGGACTCAGATAAGTTTTAGGAGGGGCTGCTGCACACAGAAGGTTTTTTTACATTCATGCATAGAATAAACATTGAGCCTTTACAGCCACTTTAATAATATACTGTATTATTATCATGATCATAATTTTAGCCCCCTTGGCCTAAATAGGGCTACTAGTTAGATTTAGTTTTTGGCTCGGTGGTAGCCCATCCCTAAGCTCAGTTGTGATTTCTTACTGCTGCCAGAAGCTGTCACTAGCATTACTGGCAATAAAAATTAGATTTCACAAACAGACTGAGTTATGAATTCTTTATATTTCCTTCAGCCAACCCAGAAGGAGGCTCAGTCCACTAGTGCATGCTGGGGGAGGGGGGGATATAAATATTTGGAACAGGCCATGTGCTTGCCTTAGCCTGGGGAAGTGCTTCTGGATGGAGCCTGTTGTTAGGCCACATGTGCTGAATATGGACTTGGGCTTCAAGTGGTCCTGAAGCTGTCCTGCCTGGTGATGGAGAAAGTTGTGCCAATGAGCAGACCCAAGGAGGACACCTGCTGGAGAGAGCAAGTAAGAAGGCTGGCTTCTTGGAAGGGGATGCACTGAGCCTAAGAAACAGAGGGAGCAAAGTCTGTGAACAAGCTAGTGCCTATACTGTTAGTGGGTCTGGTTAAGGCTTCTGGCACTTTGCAGCTGAATCTAGAGAGTCTGAAAGTGATCTGCTATGGTATCTGGGACACCTAACCCTCACCTCCTTGACCGGTCTTCAATAAGTTTTTAAAAAGTGACTGGCGCCCAATGTTCATTCTCGATCCCCTATTATAACCGTGAAATGCTGGCCTGTCCCCTGCTTCTGGAGGTGCCACCATGTGGGGTGTTGGGGGATGCTACACAATAAAGTAAAAAATTACTATATATACCTAAGATACAAGATGAAGTTATGGCTGCCTGTTACAAAAAAAGTCCTCATTCACATGGGTAGTTAAAACAGACGGCTGGGCTGTGTTTTTTCCCACGCCCAAAAGCCTAACAAGGTAGCCGGAAGGGATTATACACGCATGCCACAGCCACAATTATTTGCCCTCTCATAGAATATCAGAGGGCAGTTGGTCCTGCAGGCATGATAAGACCACTCTCAGGTCTTCCAGCCTCCCGGAGGGTCACAAAAATCAAGTGTTTAACTTCATCCAGAGTTATTCTTTAGTTTTAAATTTAAGGGAGATGAGTGCTGCCACTCCAGATTATGTCAGGGGTGAATAACACTAATTAAAACATGTGTTTTAGCCAGTCTGATCAATTCCACCCCACAGCAGTGGCCAGCTGGAGACAGATGGTTATCTCATGTCTGATGGAGTCTTAAAGAATTCTAATTAATTGCTAGTGATAAAAGTGTAAGTAGCTGATATGAGCTAATGTCAGATGTGATGTGTTGTCCAAAGCAAAAAAAATGCTTTATTAGATTAGCAATGAATTGAACCAATTCCCCCACCACTTACTGTCAGATTTTAGTTAATATTTCACTTCGTAAAATTTGGAATCAGCTTAAAATGGCAACTACGGCAAACACTTATAATGTACTTTTCATCCAGTAGGAGATTATGGTCCATATATACTGCTGGCTAAAATGTGCCTAAACAGTACCCTAAAAAACTAATTTTCATCTTGGATTCTCCTTGAAATACAGCTGTGCAATTCTAGTGTGGAGTCACTCTGTTTCCTTGAGTCCTTTGTATATCTGTAGTATGAGATGGTCTAAAACATGAGATTTGGTGTGAGATATGATGATGTCATAAATATGCTGCTTAAGCTGGCCATGCACTGATTTTTTTCATTCAGTCTAACAGATTTCTCCATCCATGGTAACAGCAATGGTCTCCAAACTGTGGCCCAAGGGCCAGATGCGGCTCTTTGCTTGCTTTTACCCGTCCCTTAGGGCACTTTTCCTGCCACTAACGCAATACACTATTCCTCCCACTGACACCAACACAGGGGTATAGTTCCTGTTACTAACATCAACAACGGGACAGTATTTCTCCCACTGACACCAAAGAGGAGGCACTATTCCTCCCACTGACACCAACAATAGGGTACTATTCCTTTCCCTGACACCAACGATGGTGCACTATTCCTCCCCCTAATGCCAAAGATGGACTATTTACTCTCACAGACACCAGTACAATATCTACCCCAATGGCCACAGTCCACCCCACTGATATCTGAAGGACAGTAAACTGGCTCTTTGTTTAGAAAGTTTGGGAACCCTTGGTTTACAGCATGGATCGACGAACCTCCCACTGTGCCTTGTGTATTCTGACAGCCTGCCCTTCCAGACAATTTTCTGTCTGTCTCCTTCAACTTTTTTTCAAGCAATGTCAGGTGCGAGCCAGCTTACAGGGCCAGCCATAGAGGGAATTTTGACTGGCCCCTCAGAAAACAGTCAAAATTCGAACACTGTAGAGCCAACTTTTTTTCTTCTCCTTACTTTAAAAAAAACTGTACTTGACGACCTGCAGTGCATGGATTTCCTTTCTTCCACCTTCATTCATTCACTGTCAGGGGCAGACTGACCATTTGGAAACTCGGGCAGTGCCCGAGGGCCTGGGGTCAGTAGGGGGCCCCATGAGATGCCCCTGGTACCTTTTTCATAGGCTTTTTTGAGTTTGGGCAATGACACAGGGGCCCCATGATCCCCTATTGCCCGAGTGCCCCATGAGTTGTCAGTCCGCCCCTGTTCACTGTGAATCTGAGCATCCCGAGCCCTATTCTACTGATCATTATTCCACCAGTCATCAAATCAATAGTCATCAGTGGGTCAGCTCTGACAGAGAGACCAATGGCATAGGTAACTAGTCCTTTGTCCTCTGCTTGCCTTTTTGGGCACTGTTTCTAGAGTTCAATAAAATGAACTCTCACTCCCTTTTTCTTCTAAATTTGTTGCTCCTTCCCCTCCGCCTTTCCTGAGATTGCAGATGCATTTTTATTTATTTATATACATTTTTTATGGAGTCCAGTCTGTACTTGCCTTACTGGCATAGACAAGAATGATGATTCCAGCTGCCCAAAGCTTAGAAGTCTTTGTGGCCATCTACAACACTGCTCATATGCCACAGTGTATTGTCTTGGACTTGCTACATGAACTAGGAAGAGGCAGCCAGCTTCATATGATGTAAGCAAAGAAGTTGGTGGTGCTGAACCCATTGTCCAATGGTAGAGTGGCAAAACAACACTGGATTCACTGGATGTGTGAGTATGTGTTTCAAGGGTAACCCAAGAAACCATGTAAAAAGAGGAGAGAAAACAAAATAGCACATGGGATGAATTTCCACCTTAAGGTGGTATCTGCAAGTCAGCTTATTTTAGCCTGATAATAAATAGCCCCAGGGACAGAGTAAAGCTTCAGCAGGTCTTTAAATATCAGGATATTATAATAGTTTGCGGTCAGTTTCACTTTTTTAAATTGATTTATACATTTTTAAACTGATCCCTTATAATTTTTTTTCAATAAAATCTTTAATTTACAAATACACACTGAATACAGGGTTTACCAACCACACAGACCATTACAGCAGATGCTGTTTTCTTTCAGACTCTCTCCCTACAAAAGTTTTTTTTTCTGCTTGATGCTGGCCTGCAAGCACCACAAATACACCAAACTCTCCAGCCAGAAGAAACAAAACCAGCAATCAATGTATTACATAGCATCTTTAAAATAATCGCATTTTGGCGCCATGATTTATACAGCAGTATAATCGTTACTTTTTCCGTTTTGCTCATTTATATGCTGACATTATATATTGAGTTTCAAGTAGATACACTGGCCTAAAAGGGTAAACTTTTAATATAGTGTTAATAATATGTATTCAAATATAAAAGCATTTGTAAAGAGGAGAAGGTTCAGGCCAGATCGGGCTTAAGTAAGTATATGGGGTAGGAAGCACAGTCTAGGCAGCACAGTGGCTAAATGGTTATCACTTCCGCCTGCCAGTACTACGGTTGTTGGTTCAAATCCCAACCACGGCACCTCCTGCCTGGAGTTTGCATGTTCTCCCTGTGCCTGCGTGGGTTTCCTCCGGGTAGTCCAGTTTCCTCCCACACTCTAAAGACATGCTGGTAGGTTAATTGGCTCCTGTCTAAATTGGCCCTAGTATGTGTATGTATGAATGTGAGTTAGGGACCTTAGATTGTACACCCCTTGACGGTTAGGGACTGATGGGAATGTACAATATATATGTAAAGCGCTGCGTAAATTGACGGCGCTATATAAGTACCTGAAATAAATAAAGGGGGGGAGATAGTTGCACTGGAATCATAAAAATAAGTACAGCTAAAGTGCAAATGTAGTTATAGGTCTTTAAAACATTTAGTTTTAAATATCTTACTGCTCTTTGAATTGTCCAAGTGAAAAAAATCTGCATGCTCTGGAGGTTGCAGCTAATGACTGTCGCGCTGTATGTGAGAGCAGCTTTCCCTGTACACACCCTGCTGACACCCCCCTTGCAATGCCATAGTGCAGCAATGGGCAAACTACGGCCCGGCGGACCTTTTAATCCGGCCCGTGGAGCGTGATACTGTCAGGATGGCTGTCAGGATGTGTGTAGGCGGGGCAGCGTGACGAACGTGAGGGGAGCTAGGCTCCTCTCACAGTCCGCCCTGAAGACCGGAACGGCGCGGGAACACGGCGAGAGGAACGCGCGGGGCAAAGGTAAGTGAATTGACACAGGGGGGACTTGGCTTACTACTTGGGGGGGAATAGTACTATGGGGGATGAATTACTATATGGGGGATAAATTACTATATGGGGGATGAATTACTATGGGGGATGAATTACTATGGGGGATGAATTACTATATGGGGGATGAATTACTATGGGGGATGAATTACTATGGGGGATACATTACTATGTGGGGGATGAATTACTATATGGGGGATGAATTACTATGGGGGATGAATTACTATGGGGGATGAATTACTATGGGGGGGATGAATTACTATGGGGGATGAATTACTATATGGGGGATTAATTACTATGGGGGATGAATTACTATGGGGGATGAATTACTATGGGGGATGAATTACTATGCTTACTATGGGGGGGAATATTACTATACTTACTATGGATGACACATACACATCATTCATCTCTTGGTCCGGCCCCTGGGTCCAGTATATGAACCCATTGCGGCCCTCAAGTCAAAATGTTTGCCCACCCCTGCCATAGTGTGTAGTCAGCAGGGAGGAGGAGGAGGGTGTTAGATCACTGTATAGAAAAAAACTGCTCTCACATAGAGCTCAGCAATCATTTGCTGCAGCAATCCCGTGGACACAAATTTTTTGGGGGATAAGAGAACTTTGATACAAAAAAACAGTAAGATATTAAAAGCTAAATGTTTTAAAGCACCCTGGTTCTTAGCAGATTTTCTAGAACTACAATTGGGCTTTAAGACTGGCCTCTAATGCTGATAAATAATCTTTGGGCAATGGACGTCTGATATTTAATTCAATGGAGTAGTTAGACTCCATCTCTAACTCCAGGACAAGTGGAATACTGTTTCAGTCCTTGCTGATAGCGGTCATTAGTGATGTTCTAATAGATTCTATTTTACAAGCAGTTACTAAACAACTTAAGGCTCCATGTACTCAGGACACTTCTGAATGATGGAAACTGACTGCTGGAAAACGTAGATTAAAAAACGTCTTTTTAGCTGCGTTTGCATACCGCGTTTATGAGCGTTTGGGTCTAGAAGCGTTTTTTTAAGATTACCTCAGGAGACCTTCCAAAATGCAAAGCACTGAAAAACAGTAAACATAAACTATTTTAGACATTTTGAGAGAAATAGAAAGAGCAGAAGCAGAGAGAGAGCAGTATTTGTTGAGATTAGCTGTATTTTTTTTTTTTGTGGTGTTGGATGTGTTCCAGCTCATTTCTGTGCGGAAATTATTGCAGCAGTGTAACATATTTTTTTTCATGCAAAACCTCAGTATGGTGTACCAGGTCCATTTGAGCATCGGGAAAACGCTTTGCATGCATTTTTCATGATGAAAAAAGGCTCTGGACATCATCTGGAAATGTAAGAGTTAAAAAAAATTAGCAAAAGCCTATAAATGCGGTTAGCCGCATTTACAAACGTTTACAAGCGTTTTGCGTTTAAAATGCTGATAAAATCTACTGCTGAACGCAAGTTTTCTGCGTTAAAAAAACAACAACTGTAGACTCAACTGCCTGTAAACGAGTTCAGGGGCTGCTGAAAAAAAAATGCTGAACAGCTCCTAAACCTGAGTTTATCAGCTGCAGTGTACATGAGCCCTTAGATTGTACTACAGAATCAGTTGAAGAGTATCCAGACACAAAAAACAAAAATGTAATCAATTGCAGTTTACCAGTCCAGATGTAGTGATTGTATTAGTTTTTCAGTTTATGTTCACCTGGTGCTCCTGTGAATAACACACTTCACGTTCCTGGTTGGTTACGCTCACTCCTCCACTGTATCAATGGAAGAAGCCTTGCTGGCCATCCAGGCTGGACTTACAACTTGTGTTTCATGCTGGAGTGAGGAGGTTAGTAGTTTACACTATAAAACTATTTCTTCATCTCACAGGAAGTGACAAGGACACTGGATTTCTGACAAGACCGACACAAATGTTCTGCCTTTGCTGAAAATATTCTTAGCCTAATAAAAGAAAAGTGATGCAGCCACCATATCTAAGGTCAGGTAAGTTGCAATATATTACATTATTGTTACTGGATTTAGTACTATTAAAGTGGAGTTCCACTCACGCTGTCAAAAAATAAAAGGCAGCAGCTACAAAAACTTTTGCTGCTGACTTTTAAAAAACAGCCACTCAACTGTCCTTCGGTCCCGTGGTGTGTCCCCCTCAGCCTGTTTCACCGGCCGTCCTGTATTCCAGGAGGCCGGCATCTTCAGTGTGGGCATCCGGCTGTGACAGCTTGCGGTGTCACAGCCGGGTACCCACTGTGCATGCGCGAGTAGCACTGTGCTTTATGAATGGTCCTGTAGTCTTCTGGGACCTGTCATGTGTCCCAAAAGACTACAGGGAGGGAGGACACCTTCCCATTTGCCTAGGCAATTGGACCGGAAGTGGGAGCGGGTACCTGTCAAATTTGGGTACCCGCTCCCTCCCCCCATCCCCCAAAGGTACCAATCCTTAATGGGGAGCGGGGGAGCAGCCCTTAAAGCAGAACTTCCGCTTTTGGGTGGAGCTCCGCTTTAGGTATTTATTATTATGTATTGTTAGAACCAATAATGAAATTTTCTCTTAAAACATTCTGTATATATTATTTTTTTAAATGTAATCTAAATACTTCATTCACATTAACACAGTCATAAATCTAAATGCAAACATAAGAAAAAGGTGCGCCAACCGAGTGCATTACTATAAAACTGTTTAATGAATAAAAAAATGTAATCAAAATACTCACAAAGGGAGAAAAAACACAAGTAAGTGTATCATAGACCAATCGCCACCAGATGCATCACCATCAGGTAAGGTGTGGCTGATGCGTTTTGAGGGACAGGCCCTCTTCCTCAGATTTCAACAGTCATAAATCTGTTTGTATGTCTCTCAAAATCACAATAAAGTTGAAGTTTGCTATATTAAGGGTTGATGAGGCCTTAGGGCCAGTTCACACTATGTGCAGTTACCTGCGTTTTTCCTTGTGGCAATGAAACAAAGAAAACAACAGTTTGTTCTATGCAGGGGCGGACTGACAACTCATGGGGCCCCCGGGCAATAGAGGATCAAGGGGCCCCTGTGTCCTTGCCCAAACTCAAAAAAGCGGATGAAAAAGGTACCAGGGGCATCTCATGGGGCCCCCTACTGACCTCGGGCCCTCGGGCAGTGCCCGAGTTTCCAAATGGTCAGTCCACCCCTGGTTCTATGTCATGTTCAGACCAGAATGTAATGTTACACTGCATTCCAGAGCAGTGCAAATTAAGCAATATACTTGCAAAATATGGCTCCGCTCTGCAAGGTCTTGCATGTCACCACGCTGCTGCTGTGCAGTGACATGAATGAAGTGTCATATTAAGGAATGAAATGAAACTGTCAATTTCTTAGATTTAGTCATTTTTTTACCTCCTAATTTTAAAAATATCTTGCAATTTTATTATACTGCAGCTTTCTTTTTAACATCAATGAATATGTCAATTCACTTTACCATGATATGATAAAAAAAACTGCATAAAGTAAATAAAATGTAGGCTTAAATGCATAGTTCACCTTTACTGTACACCCAACACTGTCTAGGCTTTCCTTGTTAGAAAGGGTTAACACAGTATCAGCAATTAATACAGTGTAAGAATTATACTCAGTCACCCTGATGTATTGAAACAGTTATCAATTTAGGACAGGCAAAAGCCAATTAAGTAATTAAAAGAAATGTAAACAGGTACTGTATGTTCAGCAATTTGGGTTTTTGCACAATGAAGATTTGTTCCTAAATAGTTTAATGGCAACTTTACAAATGCTCTATGAGTCAGCAATTAACAAAAGACTGACACTGACAAAAAATGAAATTCTGTCAATGTAATGGCATTGCGAACACTTAAAGAATCACATAAATTGGTGTCTTTCCACCTATGCGATCAATGTACATTTTAACCCAATGCAGCCAGACAGAAGACCTTAAAGTATACCACAAATATAAAATATGTACAAATCAGTACATCACAGTAGACACAGTGGGACTTTGTCAGCAGGTCCTGGCCAATGATTTGAGGCCTACTGATTACACACATTGTTAGGCACACAGTTAACCCCTTGATTGCCCCTTAATGTTAACCCCTTCCCACCCAGTGTCATTAGTACAGTGATAGTGCACCGGACATATGTGAACAGGCACCATAGGAAGCAATGTTATTTCACATGTTCAAACTGCATCCAATCTGCATATATGTGAACCAGCACTTAATGTCATTATTGATGATTATTGATTATTATTGAATGATCCTTTCAGCCCCAGGTCCAAACTCATGTAGACTTCACCTCTGCAACATCTTAAAGATACGACCGTTCCTAACCTCGGAAACCACTAAGCAACTCATTCACTCCCTTATTATATCTCGCCTTGACTACTGTAACTCCCTCCTCACTGGCCTACCTCATCGCAGGCTATCCCCACTCCAGTCCATCATGAATGCTGCTGCCAGACTCATCCACCTTACTAACCGTTCTGTATCATCCACCCCTCTCTGCCAATCCCTCCACTGGCTTCCAATTGCCCAACGGATAAAATTCAAAACACTAACACTGACGTATAAAGCCGTTCATAACACTGCCCCTAATTACATCACTGACCTTGTCTCTAAATACCACCCAAACCGTTTTTCCTCGCTTCTCGCAAGACTTCCTACTCTCTAGCTCCCTTGTCTCCTCCTCCCATGCTCGTCTCCAGGATTTCTCACGGGCTTCACCCATCCTCTGGAACTCCCTACCCCAAGCTATCAGGCTATCGCCTACTCTGCTCACTTTTAGGCGCACTCTGAAAACTCATCTCTTCAGGGAAGCCTACCCCAACCCTGGCTAACTACTGGAATCCCCCACTCCTCCAACCACTCCATCCCCCACAGCTAATTACCTCTTGTACCACTATCCCCTCCCTCCTAGATTGTAAGCTCCAAGGAGCAGGGCCCTCTACCCTCTTGTATTGAACTGTATTGTTACTGTACTGTCTCCCTCCATAATGTAAAGCGCTGAGCAAACTGTCGGTGCTATATAAGTCCTGTATAATAATAATAATAATAATAATAATTGATGTCAGTGTCTTGATGTCAATGTCAGTTAGTGTAAATCCCAGCCAGCATCAGCTAGCAACAGATTGCCCACCACACAATCATGGTATAACTCTTGCACAAACCAATATACACTTATTGGGATTTTTCTTACCAAAGACATGTAGCGGAATACATTTTGGCCTACATTTATGAAGATATTTGATTTTGATTTTTATTGGATATGTTTTATAACAGCAGAAAATATTGTTTTTTTTTCTAATTTTTTTTAGTATATATAATAAAAAACCCAGTGATAATCAAATACCACCAAAAGAAAGCTCTATTTGTGTGAGGAATGTGTGAAAATAATAACAATTTTATTTGGGTAGAGTGCTGCATGACTGAGCAATTGCCAGTTAAAGCAGCGCAGTGCTAAATAACAAAAAAATGCCCTGGTCATGAAGGGGGTAAAGGCTGTGGAGGCCAAGTGGTTAAATGATAAGTCCACCTTTAGTAACATGTCACATTACATCTGTATTTAGGATGTAACAGGCTACTCAAGAGCACCTGCCCGCACCCCTGCATCCCCTCTGTGACAGCAGGAGGGGATCCTCTCCCTGAACCCGCCGAGACATTTTAAAAACAGCTCCTTCCGTCACACAGGTTAGAAACCTGAGCAAAATCACACAACAAATCTGCCCGTACACCCCAAACTGCCTGCAGAAGCACTTTTAGGTATGTTTAAACCCACAATCAAAATGTAATATATTGCAGCTTACCAGTCTTTACATGAGGTGCTCACTTGGTTTACCATTTTAAAGCTTTATTCTTTCTTTATTTTCACCTGGCAATTCTGCTAGTAACACCCTCTAAGTCCTAGCTATAAAAAACACTTTCAATAAAATATTTAAGGGAACAAAAGCGAGTACATTTTTGTTTGTGGATTTAGATACGCTTAAAGCAGAGATTCATAATTTTATACCCTGATATACCATAACCTTTATAGAGAACCATTACAAATTTGAGTCAATGAAATGCAGTAATCCAGATATGAGTCTGCAAACATAAAAAGGTGAAAGTTACAAATAAAAATTATCTCACATAAAGATAATTACAGTATACTCAATGACATAAAATATATAGTTACTAACAATGCACTAAAAGTCCACTTTAGTAGCACAGCATGTTGGCCTAAAATGTAGTGTTTTTCAGGTAATTAAAACCACCTTCAACCTGCTTTTATTCCTGAATACAGTTGGAAAAGATTGAAAGTTTAAGGCAACCTTCCATACATTCATTTTATTAAACAGGATACTTCAACCAATTTTATGGACTGAAATAGATATAATACACAAAAAGAATAACTGTGATTGAATAGTGGCTGATTGAAAAGAATCTGATTAGGGTTTGATCAGAGTTTCTTTAACTTAATTTAAACTCTATAGGAAATCAAATCATAATTTAGATTGAAAGGTCGCATATCTAAGTGCGTGGAAGAGTAGCAAAAGTAATTTGTAAACTTTTGTTTGTGCAAAGAATTATGTGCAGCACCCTCCTAGATTGGTGCTAGGATTAGGCAAATTTAGTTCTGGCTCACTGTAATCAGTGTGGCTGTTTGTGATCGTTTAGATCTGTTCAGTGTTTCACAGACTGCAGGATTGCTTACTCCTCCTGCAATCCCGAATTCTCTGGGTGATTCTGGAACATAGGTGTGGAGTAAGGCAAATGAGCAGCATGAATATTTATACTGTCTCAGCCAATCCTTGTGGGAGACTGCACAGGTGGTTGCTGAGAAATTGTATAAATAGTTTGAGACCTGTAATAGAAGTGTCTTGTCCCTAAAGAGGATATCACAGCCTAGGAGGGCCAATTGCCCCCTAGGTGATTCTGCCATGTTCTTGTGGTTCATCGTGGTGCCAGCTGGGGGGCTGGTTTGTTTGCTGGAAGTTACTGGAACTGACTGAAGGGCCTGTCGTTTGTGGATTTGGTCTGGTATCACAGGGAGAGTGTATGGAAGGCTTTGGAAGGAGGCAGTCAATCATCTGAAGAAATTATGAGTACAGACAAATTTGAGAGATCCTAGAGACTGTGTATTGTTGCCACCCCTAAAGTGTATTAAAGAATCAGGGGACAAAGTGTCCATTGTCCTGAAGAGCTCAGTTTATTTAATTAGCGAAAGGACTTTCAAGAGAGGAAGATTAATCTACTTAAGTTGCTGCTACAACACTTAGACCATCCCTTTTCTTGTGCAAGGACTTGGCTCATAGTTCTACAGAAGCGAAAATGTCCTCCTATTTGTACATAATTTTGGAGTATCCTACTCAATTCCATATCCCCAGCCAAGTTACCCAAAAATAAAAACACTAAAAAGAGAATACCCCTGGACTGTTAATTGAGCCAAAAGTGACTGAGCCTATATACCTGGCCGAGGGGCAACTACTGGGAAAAGAACCCCGGGCATATTTCTAGTGGCTGCTATGGGGGTAGTGCTACCTATGTTTTTTAATTCCTGGTATTGTGTCAATAATACTATACGAATCCCATCACACATCAGGAAAAATATATTGGGATCCGCATAACCTTCAATGGTAGAATGAGCACTCTTCAAATCATTTTACTAAACCCTTTACCATCCTTTTTATCTCTGTCATTTTCAATCTGTCACAGCTGGCCTCAGCGCATCAGAATCCCAACACTGTGTGACTAAGCTGGCTGAAATGTAATTTAGATCTCTTCCTGTTGGTGACGGAAGAAGCCACATGGAAAGTAGAAGAAACCTTCATCTTGCCAGCATGACTTTTTCTGTTTTGAATCTGGTGTTCTGGTCATATGCTGTCCTTAACAAAATGGTTAATATTTCATCATTGCTACTGTAAAAGGTATGTAAACAACTATGTGGCTGATTAATAATGTTACAAGCACTCAAGAGCTGGGACACAGCATGATTTATCAGCATGAGATCAAGCGGTTGATATGCCAGCAGCTATTATACGTTATGGGGGCTCTCAGCTCAGACTCTAACTAAAGCTTAAAAAGACCCTGTCAAAAACGTAAAACATGCAGGCAAAACCACAAACAAATCAAGTTATTATATGCTTATTTTCAGCGTTTTCCATTTCCATAAACAATGTAAACTTTGATCTTGCTAGCGCATTTGACCAGTCCAGCAAAAGTCAATTCCCTAGCATTGCCACAGTTCCTCCTTCCTAGTGCTACATCATATCCCTTTGATGT